GAGAAGTTCAAGTTCACTGACAGGGGAATTTTACATTCCTTTACTGTCTTTCTACTGTTGAAACATTGAAAGTTGATGCCCCTTACAGGATTGTTTATGACCTTAAAATGTTGCATGACCTTGACTCAAGGTCGCTCTGTCCTGTCTGGAGCTCCGACGGAAGACCTATTCGTTGCATTGCAACGAGCTCGGCTCTAGTTCACTACACTATCTGTATGCATTGCTTTAAGCACTATGCATGTTTTGATAAAGGAAAATTTCAGCCCCATGCACTCTCCATTCCAAACAATTATATTATATTTACTTCAAATACCTACAATTGTGTAGCTGAATAAAAAATTACTGGGTAGTTTTCATGCAAGATGCAATCTTGGAAGAATTGCGTCATTGGTCATTAACTTTTTCTTTTGTTGTAATATCGGAGTCTCAGGTAAATCGGTGTCATTTAAAAAGCAATGTTTTAAGTACGATGTATGCCTCATACAGTTCTGTATGAAAAAAAAAAAATCAGACAGTTTTCGGCCCTAACGGGCCTCAAACTGTCTGATATTTTTTTCATACAGAACTGTATGAGGCATATATCCATTACTGAAAATAATCGTTTATACGTAGGGATAAAATAAATCTAGAATTTTTAAAATTCTAAAACCAATTTTATTTTGATCTGTCATTGAACTTTTGACATCTTTTTTTTTTTTTTTTTAATTTTATTTGATTATTTTTGTTGAAAAGTCTGTGTATTTTGCATTGTTGCGTAAAAGGCGCTACGCCACTGTAGGAGACAAAAAATGGCAGGGCAATATTGACTCATAAGAGCGTTGTGGCCCATGGGGATTTTGTCTTATTTATATGCACATTTCTTCATCTCAATCAAACGTTTAGATAGGAAATACATGAATATCATCACAGTATTAAAGTTTTTGTATAATTGTAAATGGAATTTCACATGATTCCACATATTTACCTACAATTACATGTATATGACTATGCTTTAAGAAAACGCTCGGTTCATTATTTGCGTAAATTACTAAGTCTTGTACTTGATTTCTAAACTGAATCAAATACTCCTTTACCTACCTTTTTAACCCCTAATATCATTTTGTTAAAAATATTACATTTTATTTCGGAACTTTCCTAAATTAAATATGCTTGAATTCAAACAGTTTCGAAAATTTCAAGTTGTTCTGGTTATCGCCACCTATCGGTGTTATTCAATAGAAATCGTCTCAAAATTCAATATAAACGATCAAATCGTAGAGAATTTCTTACAATGAGACCTCAAACATGTAATTTTTATATGTATTCAGGCGCAGATCCAGGAATTGAAGTTAGGGGGGCGCAAAAAGTAGGCAGGGGTCTGGGGGCGGCCTTGAGGCCCCCGGTGGGTCCAGTGGGGGCCCAGGGGGCGAAGCCCCCGGAAGCTTCTCGATTTTAGAAATTTTGTAGAGTAAAAATAAGGTCTACCGAGTAGACAATTTTTACATTTTCTCAACGAAACTATGATTTACGCTTTGACATTTTTTTTTGGGGGGGGGGGGGCGCCGAGTTCGCCCCCCCCTTAAATCCGCCACTGGTATTATATAAATAAAGATATAAAGAAGAAAAGATCATGTTTTCACAACAAATGAAGAGAAAACGTCTTGGCACAGTAAAGAATTTAAAAGTGTGTAAAATTTGTTCAGTGGCGTATATATTCCATAAAGACAAAAAGGCTGTAGCTGAATATCAATACATCAAGGTTAAAAATTTCAAATATGTACAACTTGTATATTTGGTTGAAAAAAGGGGGAGAGATGATAATAAATTTTGTCTAACGTATAATTATCATTTTATTTTTCTTGTAACAAGTTTGACATCGGATGAGAAAAAATATTCCTAGCAACCCACATTTTACCCATCAAATGTTCACATGTTCTATATTTATTCACTTTTACATGTAATTCTGATTGCTGGTATTGTAAACCAAAGTATTGTTCGTATTCAGATTTTTTTTTGCAATATCAAGGAAAGTTTCACAATTAATCACTGTACATGGTTTAATTGTACGGTTAAAATTCTGAATTTTTTAAAGTGATCGTGACGATCTTAATTTTCATGGTATAAACTGAAAAAACATTTGTATTAATTTACTTATTAAATGACCATCATAGATGTCTTCAAGTTCGCACAAAATTTCTAAATGTCGTTGATGGCACAAACCTAATTTATTTTACGTTACTTGTAGTACTAAGACAAGAATTTAGATAATAAATCAAACCAAAATAAAATATTTCTTTCAATTTGACACATGAAATCGTGAGATTTTGTATAATTTTCCCCCTGTTTTTATTATTAAGTGTTACCCCCCCCCCCCCCTCCTTTCTGCACCTTTATCTTCAATGCGACGCTTCGCATAATCGTTCCACACAAAAATACCCCACTTAACATTATAAGAGAGTAGTGGGGTATTTTTGTTTGGAACGATTATTTTGGGGTTTTCACGATTTTTCCTATATGGTACACATGATGAATAAGTGTAATAAATATAATTTGTGAAAAAAGTCCAACAAGCCCCGGGGTTGAATATCGGGGGGGGGGGGGGTCCTGTCCACAAGTACCTGTGGGTGCAAATTGCACATATTGTTCTTGCGACAATGTGCCTATACTAGCTGCACAAACATGCATTGTTGTACCTTTAAAATTGGTTCCTATATAAATCTATACTACAAAAGTCTAACAAATCCAATGTTTTGCTGAGCGATCATAAAAAATCGATGTTTGACCGCAGAGTGAGATATTGGACCTGTCGATGAGAAATTGGACCGCTTACACTCTGGGCAGGATTAGCTATTTCTTATTTGCATTCGTTGGTGCTCGACAGTGACAGAAATAAATAAATAAATAAATAAATAAATAAATAAATAAAAGGTATAACAAAACATTTTTTGACTGAGTTCTCGGGCAAAATGCGTTTTGTCGACCCCTCGAACTAAACTGTTTGCCTGAGGCCGTCAGGCAAACAGTTTGGTTCTTGGGTCCGACAAAACGCAATGTTGCCCTCGAACACAGTCAATAAATGTACATGTATATAGTCGCCTTCCAACTGGCCCAATAATATCAATACATGCATAAGAATCAGACAAAAATATAATTCATGAAGATTATTATTACTTCTTAACAGAAAAATTACCATTCAATCTCCAATACATAAAACCAGAAAAAAGAGAATATGCTGACTTATCAGATAAATCCAGAATCCCGGTATCTTGGCAAATCATTCTATTGTACGCCGTCCCTGGACACGATTTTCTAACCAAAAAGGTTTTTATTACACATTATTGCTTGTTAATTATAACATATATTTGCCATAAACTATGTCTATTCGTCTGTCTGTCTGTCTCTGTGTGGGCATCTCCCTTCTCTCTCTCTCCAAGTCACCAATAATTTTTTTTTTCAAAACTATTTTAATATTTTGGCGACAAAATGTGCAGATGTTCACTGTACATATTAATTGTACCCGACGACAATATGTGCTGATGTATAACTGCATGTACATTTTGCGTATATTCTTCAGTAGAAAAAAAGGGCTTGTTTCGGTACATATTGTCGCCGGTGACGATATGTACAGATGGACGACAATATGTGCGTTGAGGGTAGTTACATCTTGTCGCCATCCACAATATTTATATACAGCGACAATAAGTCCGAAATTTCTGACGTTTTCCAGGCTTTTTTTTAACGATTTTGATACTTGATAGTGTACGGTCACAAAGGTTTTAGAAGCGACGGACTTTATGCACTAAAATGTGTAATTATTCTGAAGGCAAAATTTTGTCTAAATATATAGCAATTAGATTGCTTTGTCAGTTGAAAAAAAAAGAATAAACCCATGCCAGATCTCTTAAAACACATTTTATTTTCATGTTTCAATCTTCATTTTTTTCAGAATTCGGACTTTTTTCCCGCGATGAAAAATGGATCAAGGGCATGTTAAATTGTATATCTTTTTAATGTAACACATTTATGAGCCTTAATGAAAAATAATGTTGGAAATCTAAGCGTTTTCTCTTGATGTCATTGTAAATGTCAAATAATTATTGAATATATGAATATAGTGAGTATTATAAATAAATATAACGAGGGCTTTCGTGATAAGGAAGATTTCTAAAGGTGCGGTCACACGATGCGATTTTTCAAGCGATTTTCATTCGACTTGTTTCCCGTTTTGCAAGTGACTTAGTTATCAAACAAGAACTTTACAACGTGATCACTTTGTCAATTCAATTAAAGCATTATCAAATATAATATTCATCTCTCTCTAGACAGCATAGCCTTATCAGAAACAGTATGTACTATGATAACGTGTAATTGTGAAGAAATATAGTGTTGTTTTAGGCTTTTACTTATACTTAATTCTATGAGGCACTCAAAGGAAATAACAATTTGACTGATTTTCAAAACAAGCTCATAAAAAAGGGGGGTATGACAACTTATCTGAAAAATCTTTGACAAGAAAAAATATTATCCATCCATTATCCAAAGTCGAAAATCCTATTTCGTGGATGGGGGTGGGGGTAGCTACATGTAAGTTCCAACTTTTTTCACTAACTTTATTAAGGGATGGATTGACTATACTGCAATCAAAAGTGGTGGTATGGTGGGGGTGGGGGGGGTGGTGGGGGGGGGGCAGGCCTTTCAATTAACATTTCAACAGTAAAATGCTATGTTTGTAAAAGAGTGGGGGAAATGTTCCCCCAATTATATAATTTACTACATTGTAGTCACAGTAACTTTGACCGCCGTTTTGTTTTTCTGGGAAATTAATATATTTAGAATGTATCAGAAATCCACGTTTACCTATATAGCTTTCTCTTAATGCATTATTTTAATGATTAAGCCTGTAGGTGTTATGCAATTCAATACCCATAGATGTAGACCTGTGCTAGCTGACAGGTGCGCGTTCGAACATTGCTAAGGGCAGGTAACTCTAACATTGTATATGTAAAGGAAGTTGTCTCGTATTCTTAGCGATGAAGTAATACTGTAAAATTGTAGCAGAACGGATACACGTTTTGCTGTGTTTGTATGGTGCAATATGTGATTATTTAAGTACTGGGTTTCATCTGCATACCCAGTGCTTTCTTGTGTACACATGAAAAGGTGCTGGGATGGAGGATTTCTGCAATGGATCAGTTTTATGGGTAAGTGGGGTGAATCAAACACTTCAGTTTAACTGCTGACATGCAAACATGGTATGGTGTTTTAAAACTCTCACATGTGCATCAGTCCAGTCCATTACGAAATATCGTAATATTACGAATTTTCGTAATATTACAGATTTCTATTTATCAATAACGGTTATCTCCCTTTCTCTTGTGTTCGATGTTTGTGAACAGAAGTTGCATGATACACTGTATAGTGTAGCAGTGTTGTTTGTTTTCCTACAATTACTTGTATATAATTGTGTAAATTAACAACCTGGTCCTTTAATGAGCGATTTTGTGCGGTTATCCGAATGGATTTACACATGTATGTAACATAGTGAACCTCAGAGGTGATGAGAGGTTATTCAAATGATTGACCTACTTAGTTGATAACTCGATCAGATCTCTCTCTCTCTCTCTCTCTCCATCAAGGCTGATTACCGGCCGCCAGAACGGTTAAATGATGGGGGGGGGGGGGGGAGTATGAAATAAATGTTTTTCGTAGAGTTGAAAAAAAGTTATTAGATGTGTTTAACAAAATAAAGCATAATAATTATAAAATGAAATGAATAAATAAATAATGAGGTAAATGTTTTATTTTTTAATTGTAACCTAAAAAACGTAAAACGTAGCGGTGACGTAAAACGAACTAAATGACTTGCATCAACATTGTCGACAAACTATAGCTAATTTACATGTAGCATTCAATGAGCAAGATCTTTTTCCTTTTTTAAAACGGAAATTCACTGCATTAGGGCCATGTATTAAAAATAGGTAAGAAATAATATGATTGCGGTCACGTTCTCACGAATAGTTCTGGCCTCTACACATGGCTTGGAAAATGAACATGGTCAGTTTTAATGAAAAGTATATTGTTTATTTGATTGCGATCACGAATAGTATCTGGCCTCTATATACACATGACTTGGAAAATAAAAACACACACTCTTTTGATTCGCATTCCCACGAGAGTTCTACAATATAACCTCGGGGTTTAGCAGACGTGTCACCTGCCATGCTTAGCTCGTGCACCAACTATAAATAACGTATTACTCAAAACCACCTTGACTGCTACGTTCAGGTGATAAAAAAACGGGGGGGGGGGGGGGGGATAAATTTTCATCGCTTTAGTCTTTGTCGGCTTCATCTAAACCATCGTGTTTTTTTTGATGTATAATCACAGGCACCTGTTTCGGTATTAAAGTGTTAACCCATAGTATAATAATAACACTTACATGTATTATACCATGGGTTAAAAAAAAATATTACCGAAACAATATATATAAAATATAACCGAATTAATACAAGCCTGTGTGTATAGAGTACATTTATCGTAATGTTTAAATATGTGATTTGTCGGTAACACTTCTGACCTTTTACTTATACATATCTAAAAAATAGGAAAAATATAAATAATTGGGTTCCTACTACCGCCATAGGCACTATGCATGTCAGTTATACATTTTGTAACCCGCTTACCCCCACCCCTTTCACCACATTCCACACACACGCGTGCGTTGAAAAATCGAATGTACAAACGTAATAGCAGTATTATCGAAAACGGTAACATTTCTCATGTTTCTATAAACATTTAGTCATTCGATTGGAACCTCCATAAAACCTCCATAAAATTTACCTAATTCATACCCCCTTTTTATACAGTGTTCATCTCATATCAATTTTGGTTGGCGACAGGGACGTAGCATCGTTTATGAAAGTTGGGGGTGGGGGTGCAGCACAGAGAAAAGAAATTCAACTTGTCTGAAATTTTGAAAAAAAATCCAATTTGAGGGGGATGGGATAGTTTCCAACTTCTTTCAATATCAAATTATTTTACACATACGTACTACATATACATAACCCTTATTTGTATGCTGCAGCGAAAAATGGGGGGGGGGGTCAATTAACATTTGCTATAGTAAAGTTATGTCTGGAAAAAAAGGGGGGGGGCTCCCCCCGATGCTTTGTGCCTGGATTTCTCTTTCTAACTTTAGTTTGTTCATATTCAACTCCGATACCTTAGAAAATCAATTTAGTAAGAAGATTCATAGGAGGAAACCTCATTAATTTTTAATTTGCTTGGAGGTTATTAATATGCTTAACGCACTCTTTTTACACGTTAAATGAGCTACATTTCTCAGCATATGGCTCCAATTTGAACCAATGAAAATAATAGATTAAAAAGAATAACAATTAACATTTTTAGCATGTATTACAGACCTATATTTCTGAACAAACTACAGTATGTAAAGTATAGAAAACAAAATCCATATAAATCATGCACACAAACATTAATATGTACAAAAATTGAAACTTCACATTTTATATTCAGCAAAAAAAAAGACATGTATTCATATATAATTAATAACAATTACAATATTGCGGAGAAAAACGCATTGGCACTAATAGATAACATTGGCCTCTTCACCAACAAAAATAATTACATACAAGTTACATTTCAAAAATAGTAAATATCACAAGCAAAGTTAAAGCTGAATGAGGGAGACTTGATCAATAAATTGATTAACCCTTAAAACAAAACAAAACAAAACAAAAAAAACTTATATAGTCTACCTCAAATGACCATAATTTGTGGCAACGTCAATGTCAGTTAAAAACCAAATTGAAAAAAGAAATTAAGCACATATTTAAAAAAAAAATTATAGTTATGTTCAAGATTTGAAATTACACCAATATTATCCATGTATATCTACTAAAAAATTGCAAGAATCCGATTTAAAAGCTAATAGATTAAAGATGAATTTAGCTATAGTTTCATGTTAAATTGTCATATTTGAGTCAACAGTACGCGGTAGTTTTTGCGGGATATCAATTTCACATGTTACCTTTTTCAAAAACGCAATATTTCTATAATACATGTGTAAAAAAAATATGCTTTAAAAATGAAATTCGGAAAATTTATACATGTTTTGCTTGAAACGAACAATAATATGCTTAATTTACTCAGCAACACCCTGATCAAACAGATCTTGAATGGCCTGAGGGTTTGCTACTGACCATAACCTTCCAGTTGGATTTGGTGCAACATCTGTTTCACATAAAACAGTCTTAATGTTTACATCAATTATGTCATCCTTTGACGGCCACTTGAAAGATTTTCCTGCTGGGTGCAGAAATTTCATAGCGGCAGTGTTTTCGTCCTTGATTTCGAGGACTAACCCAGGGTACCATCGATCCTCAAAGCCAACAGCATAGTACCTTCCAATTTCCCAGCATAAATTTTCTATACAATATATATATATATAAAAATTAAATGATTAAATATATAAATATTATTCTCAATATCTAAAAATTATCAATAACGCATTGGGTTTTGGTCATGGTACGTAAATGTACGAGGGCTGTTCGGAAATTATTGAGACATTGTGTATATTTTTCTCTCTAATGAACGTTCCAAATGAAAATTTGCACTTAGGTTTGACAAACACTAAGAATTAATAAAAGCAAGAAATATTTTAATAATATTACATTTCTTCTTTTCAATGGTATATAATTGTGCCAATGGTAGGGGGTACCCGGCGCAGTCACGAAATCAGATATTGAAAATATGTAACACCAACGTTCAAACTCCCCGTGGACCCAAAATAAAAGCGAAAATAATTCAATTTATAAATATAATTTTTCAATTTTATTTTTACTTCATGTTGTGCAAGTTTGTTAGAATTTTGTTCAGAAATATGGAGATCATTGTCGATTGACATATGCATGTTTATAATTTCACCGGAACTTATCTGATTATCCTGGAAATTAGAAATTTTGCATAACTGTTTTATTCGTTCTTTATAAAATGTTGATGAATTTTCATGAATTTATCTCTGTCTTTTATGGAGTAAAAGTAAATGTCTCACTTATTTCCGAACAGCCCTCGTACATTTAGGTTCGTTTAGGTACGCGAATTCCGTCATAAAATTAGATGTGGATTAGTGTATTGGTGTACTTGTAGTGTGTTTCTCTGTAAAAATTTTCACGAAAAGTCATGAAGAGTTACAAATTTTATTCCTATATGATAATACATCAAACTCTCATTAATACTCTTGCTAAATAATTTTATTCAAGATATGCACATACGCCAGCTTATAAGCGGGTTACATGTATAACGGCACAAAAACGATTATGATCTGTAGAACTGTTCTGCGTGATTGTGTGTGATCTTGCATGAGTGTGTCATGGTTTTCTGATATAGGTAGATGATAAAAAACACTTCAGAAATCAAACAGAGTAAAATGGGAAAAAAACCTTTCTTTTTTGTTTGCACCAGACTCGTTAATGTCATGGAAGAGAATCACAGATTATATAAATCTGGACTGCTTTCTTTTATTTAGTTTCAGTTTATAAATAACAATTATTTTACCTATGCAAGATCACTTTTGACAAAACTCTTTTCCTAATAAAAGCAATGCAACTGCTCTTTTTATAGCTTTTCATCTTACCCGATTCCGCTTCTTCGGTTTGTTGCTGCTGTACATTATCGATTGTCATGTCAGGTCTTTCCTCCAGTCTCTCCTCCATCGTCCCCACATCGGTATCAGTTTGCAGCATCTCTTCTAAGTTCACATTTTCCGGGGCCTGCCATCCCGGTTCTAATAATAGGCTGGCCAGTACCTCAAACTGACCTTCGGAACTATCTTGTTCCTCTTCCGCGTTCTCTCCCTCCTGTATATTGGGCTGTAATGCCCTGTCCTCGACTTGCGACAGATTTTCTCCCTCTTTGCATGGCGCAATTTGTTTTTCATTACCTGTAATTATAAATGTGCTGTGAAAAACTATTTCAAGGAATTAGAGTAAAATGTTTTGATTTAATGGTAATCAAAAGAATCATTGGCCATCGTACCTTTACTTCTTTGCCGTGTCTTGTCCTCTTTTGGCTTCTTTTTTTCCGTCTCTTTGACTGCCTAATTTATCACATGCAAAAAAAAATAGTAGCATTGATCATAATTTTTCCTTGCATAATAATTTGAATTATTCATAGATAGTTT